CTAGCCAGTGGAAACGAATCCTAGCAAAGCGGCAAGTAAATAAAAAATATAAGAAAAAATTAAAAGAAAAAAAAATCTTTATCGGTTGACTTACAAAAATTAATAAAGTTTTGATAAGAACTCAATAATGACATGTCAAAATTTAAATTTAATAATCAGAATACGGAACGATAATTGTAACTAATTATGTCCCATGTATTCTTTAAATAAGAATTTATAATTGTTATTTATATCAAAACCGGTATTTTCCTTGAATAGAGTCATATATAATATAGATTTTCATGTTTGTGTTCTATAGAGCAATAAATTAGTATTTGTTTTATAATAAAATATTACATTTTATAGTACATTTATACTGAGAACTTAAGGAAATGAATCCCTTACCATTTCAAAACACCAATATTGCACTTTGTTAATTTAAGTTATGTATTCACTTCAGCCTGCAACCCGTGTTTTTTTTTTTTATTGACTAAATATCTATAGTCAAACGTATATAACGTACATAACGTATCGTAGATATAAATGAATTTGAAAAACCCTCCATGTGGGTGTTTACACTTTTGTGTTCCTTTGGAAACTTCGCTAAGATAAAAACAAGAAAAATAAGCCACGAAAACTATCTTGATAACAAAAAAATGCTTCATCACCATGAAATGACCAGCTTAGTATTATATTGTGTACATTTTATCTAAGTTCAAGTACTACCTATCTTTGAATAAAACACTTTAACGGTTTAAAACGCGATAAACTTAATTGAAAATGTGTTAACCGTTAAAACACATTAACAAACCGTTAATGTGTTTTATTTAAATGTGTACTACTCGCGTAAACTATAGACAGTAGTTACTATCTACCTTATCATATTTTAATAAAACACTTAACCGTATAAAACACGGATCGTAGTAATAGTAAGTCAACTGTTATATTACACGTTTTAAACCGCTTATGTTCCATTTTGTTTTTCACATACACTATGATTTGTACAATGCTGTACTCATAATATTTAAATAATTTATACATGAAATCGTCTAGACGGTTAGTTGCAGAAGAGGGTTTTATTTTATTTAAGACTCTCAAGGAAATTAGTTTTTCTAAAAGTGTAAACTATTTATACATTACATGTCCCAATCTTAGTGCCTTGTTTGATCGCTACAAAATACCAATACTGTGTCCGCCTCGCGGTGTTACCTGCCAACTTACAGACTAAAAGTAACTAACTGTCTATCTTTCATATGTGAATGAAAAAATTTTCTTACTCAAAATAGTAATTTGTAAAATTTAAACTTTGTTACGTGCAAACGGACAATTACATTAAATTTAAAATATGATTTTAATCGTTTCGTTCCAGTCTGTCGATTTCCGAACAGTCAAAGCCAAAATAGGCTGATAGCGCATCTTGTTCAGAGGTTATATGGTAAGGTATTTTACCTTACATCTATGCTTGTCTGTCCTCCTCTATTATTAAAAAAAATAAATATAGTGTGGTATCCCCCTTTCTCTGAAGCATAGAAATGTGTCTATGGCACTGATCAAATTAATTTACAGGCTAGACATGTGCTCTTTCCGGTCGAATCGAATGAATTTAAAACATGAATCTGATAACGCAGGCTGTATTTTTTATATATCAAAGTAACAGCTTACGTGCAAGCATGTCATAAAATCAGGTGTATCGTGTTAAGTCAAGTCCCGAAATCTGTCCCATACGGCCGTTTCCATTTATGACTTTTATTTTATGACTTCGCCATACGGACTTTATGAAGTGCTACGCTCTGAAATTCGAAGTCTATAAAAAGATGAATTCGTTCTTTAAACTTTTCTGAATTGTAATTTTAAATAACAAGGTACTGTTATACATATTACAACTGAAATAAAGACTGCAGACGTTAAATATTTTATTTAGTTTCAAATTATAATTTTCAATCGCCTTTTAACAATTGAATTTAAAGCGATAAGGTTAGGTTAGTTCTAGTTAGGTCGAGGAAAAATCGAAAATAAGTTGAAAAAATTCTCGACTCGCGCAGGACTTGAACCGGCATCGTCATCGTTCCGTGTTGTTGCTCTACCAGTTGAGCTACCGAGTAGATAATTTTTTTCATTTTATTTTACATTTTTAAATTATATAGTGCCATCATGTGCAATAACATGTGAAAAATATTGTAGTTAGGTTATCATATAATACAAAGAGGAATTTTAGGGAAGGTGATATAAAGATTCCATCTGAAATTCTATATTATAAATAATTCTATATATTTAACTTTTAAATTATTTTTGTCTGTCGATCTATACCTAGCCCAAGTTTTTTAAACAACTCCCGTTTTAAGCTATAAATTCCAAAGTTGTATATCAACTTTGTTATGTTGCATTGCTACTAATTTCTCACTCATACCCCATTTATGAACAAGCTTTTTTAAGGTTTTACTGTACTTAGATACTTTTACTAAATACCGTTATTTATACATTTGTCTTTTCATTGCAGGTATGTTTGGAGTTGTAAGACGATCTTATAATGATAGTTTTAAAGTAAGTCCTTTTTTCTCTCTTAAGCTTCATTATCTATCTCTTAGTCACACACTGGAATGAGATAGCGTAGAAAATAACAATTCTAATTATCTGCAATGTATTTCAAAATTTCGTCATTATTTTGGCAAACGTCAATATCTTTATCATTGGGATCTAACGGCTTAATGAAGAAGTGAGTAATAATTCCGTTATACACCAAATGAGATAGGGGCTCTGGGAAACTAATACCTGGCTTTAAGACGGCTCTTCTGTTTAAGGTTTGAACATATTAACTAGTTAGTATCAACAATCTCATCATAACTATTATATGTTTTTGTATATGACGTAATACTTTATGATTTTAACTTAACATTACAAGTTTAACTTAACAATCTGCGTCGGAGACTTCGTCCGCGAAGAATAGTTATTTTTGGGCATCCAATTTGTTTTTACAAACCTCTTCATCTTTAAAAACTTAAGCTTATTACCCACGACATCGGGCGCGTCCCGTCGTTATTTACAAGGTAATCTTAGAAGATAAACATATAGCGTCGAAAACTTTTTGTTGGATCATCAAAAGAGGAATCATTTTTTCATACATATTTTTTCGGTATCTTGAACCGTTTTCACAGCGTACGGAGACCCAGAGATGAATAATATCCCCCCGTTTTTTTTTAAACATTTTCTGCCGTTTCTTCGCTCATATTAGTCACAGCGCAAAAATATTTTTTCAATTCGAACCAGTAGTTCCTGAAATTTGCGTGTTCAAACAAACTAACTCTACAACTTTGTATATTAGTATAGATAAGAACTATATTAGTACGAAAACAGTTTATTTATTTGAGAATTACGTACTGTTGTCAGATTGATCTGAAATTTGGTACACATTTAATTTAGATACAATATAATATAATAAAATCAAAAACATTATAAATACAAGATGGCCGCCGATACAAAATGGCGGATTACATATATTTTTCCTTAACCCTTAATTAAAATGAAAGGGCTACACTAGTAAAACACAAATAAAAAAATGTAGTTTTCAGTTACAAATAGAACCGTTTAACTTAAAAGTTTTGTTTACGAAATAAAATACCAAACGTATTGTGTTGGTGAAATACAAACAGGCAGTTTTGGGAAAATCCCTTTCAACAGATATTGCAGTGTTACATCTTTGGTTTTATGATTAGATGTCCTTTGTAAAAGCAAGAAGACTGAATTTTGCTTGGCCGGCTCTATTGTGCGTTTGTGGTTTGTAATTTCAAAGGTGTATGCATGGTCACGCACTTCTCCATCACACCCTTATCTGTTCAAGTCGGGGTCGAACCCACTGTCCTATCGCAGAGGAGCACACAGACATATTGATACTATTATCACAAATATATAGCTAGACGTGATTCTAGGAAAAATTTATAAGATTTTGTGATTTGAGATAACAAATTTGTGATTTCGCACGCGATGCATGTATCAAGATTGATTTGATTAAACAGCTAATCTTTTATAAGTACTTTTATTGATAACTAGCTGTGTCAGCGACTTCGTCCGCGTAGAATAGATATTTTGAGCATCCAAATTTGTTTTTGCAAACCTCCTTTTCGTCTTAATAAATTTAAGCTATTACCCACGACGTCGAACGCGGTTCGTCGATTTTGCAAGTAAATCTTAAATTATAGACGTATAGTGTGGCGGACGTCACAGCACGAAGTTTTATATTTATAGCCTTCCTCGATAAATGGAGTAACACAAAAATAATTTTTCAATTCGAGCCGGAAGTTTCTGAGATTAGCGCGTTCAAACAAACAAACAAACTTTTCAGATTTGTATATTAGTATACTCGAAGATGTAAATATATGGTATATAATTAAGTTTTTAAATAATAACCTGACTAATTATACTGTAGAATAATATAAAAATGAGGTTCAGCTATGATCTAAAAATAAAACTAACTTTGCTTTAGCCCATAAAACGAAATTAAGAAAAGGCAGGAAGTGTAGCCAAAATTAAAAAATGAATATTAACAACAAGGCTTATATTAAATTAAAATTTATTTTTAGATTAAAATAATTTTACAACACGGCCGTGACTTGAACCGGCATCCACATCATTCCGTGCTGTTGCTCTAACTAATTGAGCTACCGCGTCCTACACGTTGAAGCTTGATATTTTATAGCTTAAAGCCTTCCTCGATAAATGGTCCAACCAACACAAAACGTATTTTTGAAATAAGTAAGTAAGTTCAAACAAACAAACTCTTTGGCTTTGTAATATTAGTATAGATGATAATAAAGATAAATGCTGCGAACAAGCATTTGAATTTCCAGATAAGATGTATCAGATTTATAATAATTTGGTTGATAAAAATTACGATACGGACTTTACGGAAAAGTGCTCTTAATTCTTAGCAATATACATCTACACGATAATCTCATGCTGGGTATATATATGTTTACCAAACGATATAAAATCGCAGTGCTAGTTTTGTGTCTGTTACATAAAGAACAATGACTGTGAACGCTATATGCTACGATGATAAACCTCAAATAAGAAAGAGATTGAAAAAGTCCTTTGGAAAGGTATGCAGCGCCAAAATGATTAAACGAAAACTACCAATTGTGGGATGGCTTCCGAAGTACAACGTCAACACATTAGTACAAGACATGATAGCTGGAATCACGGTGGGCTTAACAGCCATTCCCCAAGGGCTGGCTTATGCCATCATCGCTGGACTATCTCCTGAATACGGTTTATATTCTGGCCTAGTGGCAGGTGTTGTATACACTTTCTTTGGAAGTTGTAAGGACATAACAGTTGGGCCGACGGCGATTATGGCGGCAATAGTCGCAAAGTTTGTGGCGTATTCTAGTGATTTCGCCATTTTAGCTAGCTTTTTAGCCGGAATAGTAGAGCTTCTAATGGGAGTGCTAAATTTCGGATTTCTAGTAGAATTTATTTCTGGCCCCGTGATCAGTGGATTTACAACCGCTGCGGTGCTGCAGATCGCCTCTTCACAACTAAAAGGACTATTTGGATTACGGGGCTCCGCTGGTACATATTTTGCAGAATCAGCAGTAAGTTTCGTGAGGAATATTAAGACCACGACACTTTGGGACCCCATTCTCGGTTTTAGCACAATTGTTATATTATTACTGTTAAAAAAACTTGGACGTGGGTGTTCGATCACTGGTGGTGTTTCGGAGAAAATTCGATGTTACGTCTCGCTAAGTAGAAATGCTATAGTGGTGGTCATCGGAATGCTAGTGGCGTTTATAGTTAAGAGGACAACAGGAGACGAGCCTGTCGTATTAATTGGTGATATCGTTAAAGGACTCCCCACTCCAAAACTTCCCCCGTTTAGCACCACTGTCGGCAACGATAGTTATATCTTCGGAGATATGCTGCAAGTTTTCGGGCCTAGTTCATTTGTATTACCATTTGTAGCAATATTAGAAGCCGTAGCCGTGGCCAAATCTTTTGCGGATGGTGTTCAAGTGGATGCTAATCAAGAAATGATTGCTCTCGGTTTGTGTAACATCGTTTCCTCTTTTGTAAGCAGCATGCCGACTACTGGTTCATTTACCAAGTCTGCTTTGAATCGTGCCTCTGGAGTTAAGACGCCTGCGGGTGGCATATTCAACTGTTTGCTTATCGTATTATCTGTTACCTTGTTAGCTTCTACATTCTATTACGTCCCTAAAGCGTCACTGGCTGGTCTCATTATCACGGCTATGATGTCGATGGTGGATTACGAGATATTTGGCAGGTTGTGGGTGCACAGTAAGCGAGAACTTTGCGTTTTGATTGTAACTATTATTATGTGCTTAGGAGTCGGTTTAGAATACGGTATTGTGACGGGAATACTTCTTGATGCTTTGTTTATTTTATACAGTAAAGCGCGACCAACTGTTTACGTTTATAGCCAAAAAGAGCCAAGAGCTGACTTGGTAGTTATTACGTTAAACTATAACCTATCCTACTGTGCGGCAGAGCATGTAAGAAAATCTATTCTTGTTGCTGCTGAAGGTATCTCTTCAGACTCGTTAATCATAATCGATGGCACTAATCTTCGCAAAATCGATTCGACGATTGCATCGACTCTCGCGACTGTTGCGAATGATGTAAACAATAAAATATGTCCGTGTCTATTTTTAAATTTTGACGAGAAATTATCGAAAATGTGTACCGCTTTGAAACCTCAATTAGCGGATAAGTTTTTCTGCTGTAAAAAGTTGTCTGACGTCGCTGATATGTATTTTAAGGGTGTTTAGCCAGTAGGGGTTGGAAACTGTTTTGTACTTAATCTAGATTTAAAAAAAACTGTATTATATAGTATAAATAATTATTAATTTAAGTAAGATTGATTTTTAAATAAAACACTTTAACGGTTTAAAACGCGATATATTAGTTAAACTTATTTGAAAATGATTTTTAACTTCGGCCCGACGTTTCGGATGCTTTGCAGCAGCCGTGGTCACGGGGAGATACGGGGAGGGACGGGGAAACGTCGGGCCGAAGTTAAAAATCATTTTCAAATTAGTTTAACTAATATATCGCGTTTTAAACCGTTAAAGTGTTTTATTTAAATGTGTACTACTCGCGTAAACTATAGACAAGATTGATTTTGTGATAAGAATTTGATATTTTTTTAACCTAATTAAATTTAATCACTTAATGTAAGAAGTATACTTATTTTATAGGATTCATTTTGATATCTTTATTGTATTAAACTGTAACTGTGTAAGAGATACTTATATTTGTACGCAAATATTTTTAAACCGTAAGTGCTCGTTGGTTTTGAAAAGGCGTTGAATCTAAACACACATGGTAAAAATATTGTAGGTTATAATTTTCTCAATTGTTTTATAGACGCTCATTTTGCGAAAGGCGCTTAACTTAATAAAATGTAGATTATATAATTAGCTAAATTAAAATATTTTGTATCCAAAAATCTTCTGTCCTTTACTTCCAACATACCTACTTATATTGTCGGTAACGGTCGCTGTGTTGTTGACAGGTTTGGACTTTTCTCTGCGCCCACATAAAATACTCTCGATAAAGCCCGGGGAAGGGGGAGGTTTTATCGCAAATTTCTGATCCCTCAATATTTCTATTGCTCCGTTGAACGCGTCAAAGAGGGGTGTCATTCGGTTTCCTGAAATTTATTAACGTGATTCAGCACTTGCGGAGGCAGATTTATGCTCTTATCGAATAAGTGCATATAGATTTTCGTTTAGACTCTCACGTCACTCTTAATGGAATAAGAAATCATTTAAAGTAAGAAAAAAGTTACTTCATTCTACTTTGCATGGTTTGATAGGCGCGTTGGTCAAATGGTAGTAATGTGTGGACACGGACTTGGGTTCGTCTCCAACATATTTCTTAAGAATTTTTCTCACGAACCATTGTACATAAGTGAAAAACTATAACCTATAAATTTACTTTTCGCTCTACACCTCTGACTGCCCAAACTCAAATATAGGATGGCAACATATCTTTATAATTAAATTGGAATTAAACGTACACAGAACAAACTTAACTAATGAGGAATATTTTATTGAACATGGTAACAACATTATCTTACCACAATCTCTTCTCGATGGAACGGAAACTACGTTTGACGTCTTGATAACGTTTGTATTTTAGGGATCAGCTAACAATAATCAAAGTTTACTGTTGTGTTATTTAAGTAGGTAAGAAAAAATCGAAAACTTATAAAAATAATTTAAATTAGTATAATAATAGTTATTACGCGAATTATTTTATTAGTTTAAGTTTATAAAATCTGATGATATACCTAATGATTTCCAAAAAAAAAGTTGAAAATTAATAAAGTCACAACTTAACAATATTTTAATGATCATTATGAAAAACTTGTATATGCAAAAATGTTTTATTATAGTAAATAAAACACTTTTCAAAAAAATTTGATTTGTATTATAAATCATAATCGTATTAATAATTTAAAATAATAATTAATGATAAATATTCACCTCTCTTAAACGCTGCTGCTGTTAATCGCAGTTTAAAAATAATTTATCATATTTTAAACAGCTTAAAGTGTTTTATTGAATTTGTTATCTAGAGTAAATTGTATAGTACACATGCGTTGTATAAATTAGGCTAAAGTGTTCCATATGGAGACGTTTAGAACCATATTGCGTAAAATTGTTTCGTCCTTGGCTTTCTACGGATATTTAATTTGTAGCTGATAAACGAGCACGTAGTATTGTTTTGACGTTCGTTACATTAAGAACTATCCATGTCTGTGCTCGACGGAACATACAAGGGAGAAGGAGCACAGATTAGACGAAGGGTTAAGAAATCTTTCAAGAGAGTTTGCAGCAAGAAAACTGTGAAGCGAAAATTGCCAATACTACAATGGCTACCGACATATACTTTTGGAGCACTTATTCAAGACATTATAGCAGGAATAACAGTTGGCTTAACGGCTATACCCCAGGGTATAGCAAATGCCCTGATAGCTGGTTTATCCCCTGAATACGGTCTCAACGCTGGATTACTAGGTGGTGTCGTATACGTTTTCGTTGGTAGCTGTAAGGACATAACAGTTGGACCTACAGCAATAATAGGGGCAATGATTAGTAAATATGTGGATTATTCAGCAGATTTTGCCGTTCTCGCCACTTTTTTGGCGGGCGTAGTAGAATTCTTGATGGGAGCGCTGAATTTTGGATTTCTAGTAGAATTTATATCAGTACCAGTTATCAGTGGATTTACAACGGCAGCAGCTTTGCAAATAGCTGCCTCGCAATTAAAATCCTTGTTTGGTTTGGCTGGCTCATCGGGAAATTTCTTTGCGCAGTCTGTCGTTAACTTTTTCAAGAATATAAAAACTTCAAGACTTTGGGACCCTGTGCTCGGATTCGGGACAATATTCAGTCTGATGCTACTAAAACGTTTGGGACAAGGCTGTTCGATTACTGGTGGAATTTCTCAGAAAATAAGATGGTATTTATCACTTAGTAGAAACGCTGTGGTGGTTATTATTGGAATGCTTATAGCGTTTATAATAAAACAGGCAATAGGTGAAGAACCAATGATATTAGTTGGAAACATCACGAGAGGACTGCCTACGCCGAGTTTACCTCCATTCAGTACAACAGTTGGAAACGAGACCTATAACTTTATTGATATGTTACAAGTATTTGGACCCGGCTCATTAGTTATACCATTAGTTTCGACTCTAGAAGCCGTTGCTATCGCCAAAGCCTTTTCAGGAGGGCTACAAGTAGATTCAAACCAGGAAATGATGGCTCTTGGATTATGCAATATCGCTTCATCTTTTGTAAGCAGTATGCCGATTACTGGTTCTTTCACAAAGACGGCTCTAAACCACGCGTCTGGTGTTCGTACACCTGCTGGAGGTATTTTCAACTGTTTACTTATTGTTTTATCACTAACCACTTTAACATCGTCATTTTATTACATACCAAAGGCTTCCTTAGCTGGGCTCATTATTACAGCAATGTTGGCGATGGTTGATTACAAAATTTTTGTACGGCTGTGGTTTCACAGTAAGCGTGAGTTATGTATTTTGATTGTAACTGTATTAATGTGTTTAGGCATAGGTTTAGAATATGGTATTGTAACAGGTGTATTGCTTGACGCCGCTGTAGTTTTGTTTTATAAGGCACGACCGAAAATTGATTCTTACGTTTTCAAAACAACAAAATCAGATATGTCCGTAGTCACTTTGAAATATAGCCTATCTTATTGTGCTTCCGAATACGTACGACAAAAACTACTTAAAGCAGTACGCAATATGCCTCCTGGCAGTTATTTAATTGTTGACGGAACTAATCTGCAAAACATTGATTTGACAATTGCAGCAAACCTTATGTCTGTTGCTGGTGACATAGACAAACGGGCGTGTCCAATTTTGTTTTTAAATTTTGATGAGTCTATTAAAAAAATGTGTATAGATTTAAAGCCACAGTTTGCAAAGAATTTTGTCATTAGTACAGATATAGGGGAAGCCGTGGATGTCTATCTTAAAAATATGTAGAAACGATACATGTCTTAAAGACATAGTTTAGTTTATTAGAAGTGAAAAATAAAGTTAGTTATTAATTAAGTCTGAAGGATCTCACAAACAAACTATAGAAAACAAAGTAGTCAAATAGTTTGTAAAAATATAGTTCCTAAGGATGAATGTTTTGTTTAGTTTTAGTACGAATAAATGATTTAGCAATGCGTTATTTCTTTTTATAATTATAATTATTTGTTGTTGTCGCTTAATAATTTCAAAATTTTATATTTAAACATAAGTAACTTAATTTTATTGTCAGGTATAAATTAAAGTAAAGTTCTATTTCTTAATTTAATGTATGGTTAATAATCAAGGGATAAAAAAAAATCCAGTCAATTTATAATTTTTCTGAAATATGTTGGACTTTATCTGGACATCCGGATATTGAATGGGTTGTAGAAATATCTATATACCTAATATCTAAATCTGAAATAGGTTGACAGCGTTGTTTGGATTTAATAAAGCTGTGATATTTAAATAAAACACTTTAACGGTTTAAAACGCGATATATTAGTTAAACTTATTTGAAAATGATTTTTAACTTCGGCCCGACGTTTCGGATGCTTTGCAGCAGCCGTGGTTACGGGGAGATACGGGGAGGGACGGGGAAACGTCGGGCCGAAGTTAAAAATCATTTTCAAATAAGTTTAACTAATATATCGCGTTTTAAAGCGTTAAAGTGTTTTATTTAAATGTGAACTACTCGCGTAAACTATAGACAGTATTTAGAGCTGTGATATTTCACCTACCATCAAGTGAACTCCGTGCTTGTCTGTCCTTTTTTTGTTTCCTCGGGTTTCGAACCCAAGACTCGTGTTTTACCATGCTACTGAGAATGTCTTTATTGTCTGGTAGTACACAAAATGATATTTTACTCTTAGTCAATCATATTTTATTCTTCAAACTATTTATATATTCTACAACAAATACCACAGAAGGAATACATAATAAACCAGAAACTTCGCTACGGATTTGCGAAAATATACTATTTTATATAACGCGTCTGCATTACTTCCGGGCTGCCAGACCCAAGCGTGTTAATCTTGCCTTCCGTCTGCAACAGCCATAATATTCATCTTACTAAATATTCAGAAAACTGCTCACTGAATTTGACATCGGAAAATATGTAAAACTCATTGCATTTGCCGAAAATACTTTGTCTTTCAGACAGTAAGTATGAGACAAGAGAAGTCAGGAATATTATATGCTTCTAAAACAATTTTTATATCAATTCATTGTTACTATTATACTAATTCTATGTTAATTATAAACTAGCTTTATCGCGGGTTCCTGATTAAAAAGGTTATTAAATACCGTCGATAGTTTACGCACATTTAAATAAAACACTTTAACGGTCTAAAACGCGATATATTAGTTAAACCTATTTGAAAATGATTTTTAACTTCGGCCCGACATTTCGGATGCTTTGCAGCAGCCGTGGTCACGGGGAGACAACGATAACGTCGGGCTGTAGTTAAAATATTTTTTAAAATGTAAGTAATACATATCGCGATATGAATAAAACAATTTAACTGTTGAAAACACGTTTTAAACCGTTAACTTGTTTTATTCAGACAATAGATTTACATATACTGAAAGTCTTATAAAGTACATACACACTTCTGCCTGTGTGTAGGATTTTTTATATATTTGAAGCAGTATGTTAAGCCTTATCTGCCATACAAGGCTTGCAATGACACGTCAAATCACGTGGAAATAAAGGTTGAATGAACACATCCTTGTCACCCCCCCCATTATATCTTGATCTCTCAAAGAACCCTAATATCTATTGAATTGTAGAAGCCAGGATATTATTTAGTATCTTCTATAGGTCAGAGATAAGTTGCCGCGGGCAGTCGCTGACTTTTTTTTATAAAGTTTCACCATTTTGAATGAAATACACTTTCCAGATGATTAACTTTACTTTACTGTATTGTGAAAAATACTTCACCTGTTAAAGATCTATTTTGCATGAATTATTGTGTTTTACATTGAAAAATATAATACGAGTGGGATCCGAACCAAACATTCTAGCGTTATATAATGCAACTCTTGCGCAATATGTATACTATATCTATGTTAACAGTGTTGTCAATCTAATATCAAATAAAAAAAACAGTCAATTAACGTAAACATAAAGTTAATAACTACAGCCCGTCTCCCCTTAAGCAACCTGTGCCACGAATGTTGCAAAGCATCTGAAACGTCGGGTCGTAGTTCAAAACAAGTTTAACTAATATATTTCGCGTTTAAAACAATTGAAATGTTTTATTTAAATACGTATTACCCGCGTAAACTACAGATAGTATTTAATAACAAATAACACAAATATTCACTCAAAACTATCGTTCTATCAAAGGCACTGATTGTTGATTTCTAAACAATATCTAGTCAGAAACAAATACTCATCCCAAATACAATTTTAATGCAATTAATTCCCAACCTTAATTCATTACCATTAAAATTATAATTACTGTGCACGCTCGTTAATGCGTGTTTAATAGTTTAAAGTTAGGCCAATTCTGATCTTCGTTCGAGAGCGCTGTAATGCCTTCATTTAAAGCTTATTTTTAACTGACTGGACTATATATGCTTTGGCGCAGTTTAGGGTCACTTCAGCCCTCGTCAAGAGTTGCAGACTGAAATGAAATACCGGCTAAATGAGGCGACCAGTTGCCAATGGCAACCTTTCATTCATTTGCTTGTTTGCCAATGCGAACTTAGTTCATTTTGAATGTGATACACGTAGGTATGAGAACAGATAACATTTGCGTATACTTATCAAACGTATAGCCGTCTATCTATTAAAGTGTGCGTAAAAATAAGTTTTACTTATCGCAGCGGAGCGCGTACCCGCAACCACTCCGTTGCATCATTTTATTAATCTTTTTTTTAAATATATGTCGAATCCGGGTCATGCGTACGGGACGTCAACAACACAAACGTCACTTCGACGTGTACAGAGTCTAGGCAACGGGAGAGGGCAACGATAATAAAAAGGAGCGCATTTGTTGAGTCGCATTTCAGTTATCGTTGGCATCGTCATAAGTCACCTACCAAGGAACTGACTATTATTATTTCTCACCCGGAATCCTGCTGATTCCGACAATGAGTGACCAAGAAGACTACGTGACTCCGACATATATTAAGACTGTTTTAAGTTGTATTGTATTTTTTAAGAGGAAGACAAACAAACATAATCTTCACTTGATGGTAGGCGAAATACCCTTGCCATATAACATGTAGCATAGCCGATGACCTGTTTTCCTGTTTATTGTCTTTCGGGCTGTTCGGCCAATGTGAGCGAAAAGAGGTTCTCGACATTACCCCATCACGTGTGGACGGCATCATCAGGAGATGTTAACTCCTCGATTGCTCGAAGAATTATAAGTCTTTTTTTTTATTGATTCTACGCATTGAGCCTTGCGGGGCTTCGAATACTAACCGGGCGTTTGGGTGAGCGCGCGAGCGCTCGCCCTGTTTGCGGCTAGACCAAGGGTGCCCCGAGGGGGGCATTGGCCACAAACATTAAATGCAGTTATTGAAATTTGACAAAATTGCGTAAAGATGGTGTCCAATTTCAGTTACTCCATGTACATTGAAGTATTCAGGGTCCTAGCGAATTCTTTATAGGGGATGTTGGGGACGAGTAAATAAGCGACAAAAAAGCACCGTAAAATATTCATGGGACAATAAGTGGCGTTTTATGGAGGCTGGTTAATGGCGCGACAGTAACATTAAACTGAGTTTAGCTTGCGTTTACTATCGTGCAAGGAATCGATCGAATCTCTTTCAAATTGGTTTTTCATTGGCCGCACCCGACGTTGCCGATATCGCTATGAATATTAAGTGTTTTCCGCGGATTTAACTTGTTTTTGAATGCAGATTCGCATTGCGTATGGTGGCGCAGGATTTGAGTTTTAGTAATTGGAAATGTTTTGGAAGTAGATGCAAATAGTATGGATATTCTGAAAACAATAAACCTCATGTAATGTTATATTAATATAACTAGCTAACAATTCGCATTTTAAACCGTTAAAAGTAGTTTGTTAGATTACTATAGGTATTACTCTTTATGTTTATTTTTTTAGTATAGTTAAAAATCATTCAGACCATATACTATAATGATTTTTCAATAAATAGTTCATTTTGAAGGTATAGGGGTCGAAGATAAATCAGAGATATCTATCATATTTCATAAGTATGCCAAAACTAGAGGCGTTTATAGCTCTTGGGGATTTGACAACAGCGTTGTTGCTTAGCCTTCTTTGACCTCTTGTGACCATAGCTTAAGTACATCAAAATAATAAATATAATTGATCTTTAAAACTTTAATATCTTTCGCATGTTATAAGTACGCATGTACACAATGGCACTATATAAATTAAAAATCTATAAATGGAAAAATGCGACTCGGGCAGGTTTGGAACCGGCATCGACAGCGTTCCGCGCTGTTGCTTTAACCAATTGAGGTTTTAATCCATGGTGCTTTTGATTTTTAGTTTAGTCAGATATTTTAAGTCATGATCGATCTTCATATTACTACAACAAATGTAGAGTTTGGAAGCCTTTGGAAGGCGATTCTGTTAAGACGAATTGTTTGTAAAAAAAACAACCCTTTACCCATTTCAACAGATGTTCCGAGACATCCTATTTGCCGTCTAATATCGCCGCAAACTACGTCTTTGTTGGAACACTGTGCGATAGATATTTGAGAAATTTCTCACAATATATCGCTGTTTTCGTTCGGGTTGTAAGATAATCGACATTTTTATATTAACGAGATTTACAACATCCATTGTCAGGTCTTTTTAAGGTCTTCTATGGGTAAAGATGATTAGTTTATTATTGGAATTAAAACCTTTTCGCTTTAATAATTTCTTTAACATTACAACAATGCACACAAAGCACTTTTATTGTTAATATCACATATAGACTTACATAAGTAAGTACTAAGTTCGACTGAACGAACATAT